GGCAATTTGAAATAAAAATAGAAAACTAATTCCTAAATTAAGAATTTTCGGTGAAATTTCATGAAGAATTAATGATAGCCAAGTACAGTAAGTTGGGAGAATTTCCATAATTATCTAGGTCAGGTCAGGAAAATTTCTCCGCGTGTTACAAAATTGGGGTGAATTTCAAAGAAATTTCAAAAGAATTTCCATGGAATTTGAAAAGAATTGCAGAATTTCGTAATGTTACGGGGGAGGAAACAATGAAATTGATTGGACTTCAGAAGAATTAAATTTAGTAAATTCCGGAATTTATTTCACGAATTTCTGAAATGGAATTGAATTTTTGAAATTAAATAACAAAAAGAATGTTATAAAATAAAAAAATTCGCATAACTTTTGAATAAAAGTGCCGGAATTAATTCCGTTCACGGCGTTGGTAGAAAAGAGGGTGAAGATTAATCCTATCAAATTAGATTGAAATTTTGAACGGCAGAATGGACAACATTGTCAGGTAAGCACAAAGAAGGAAGATACGTGTCACACATAGTAGAAATTTTGGATGATGCGACCAATTGGGTGGGAGGGTGGAGGAGAGAAGGGGGGTTGGAGAGGAGATAGAAGAAGAGGAAAAAGATGAGATCTTTGAGAGAGATCGGCGGGAGGAAAAGAGGGGATTAGTAGGAGAGAGATAGATTGACAATACCGCGCTCCCGGTCGGCCGGGAGCAATCAAGGTCCTTCCTCCTAGTCGAGGAAGGTCTTCAATCAACCCCTAAAGGGTCTTCTCGATCGTTCCCCCRGTGGAACGACGAGGTCGCCGGATCAAATGCGCGCAATGAAGGCGAGAAGCCGTGGCAATGATGACGTCCGCAATGGCATGATGATGATGATGATGATGATGATGATGATGGCTCCTGCTGAGTGGGCCAGCCTCTCACAGTTTGTATTCGTACTGGGAATCAAAATCAAACGGGCTTTTGCCCTGTTGCTCCGAACGAGATGAGTGTTCTCGTTGAGCTCATCATAGGACACCTTCGTTATCTTCGAATAAATGTGTCGCTCCACCAAGGACCCGGCATGCACGTGTGCCCAGGCGGGGGAAGGAGCAAGCAACAGGCGGGGAAAGGCGCTGTGCAG